AAAGAAATTCAGAACAGCTAAGCAAAGAAAGCTGAGTGATTTCTTTAGTAGGAAATGAGACTCAAACTGCTGCTGAACATCAACTGTACTGTACAAATCTTCAAATAATTTTCATACTACTCATTATTGTGCAATGATCGATTTTAGTTTACATAATACAATTTAAAATCAACATTTTTATTTGTAATAAAGTGTTTGGATACTGTGTACAGTAGTGTAATAGTGTTTCAAATGGGGTTGCGAGATCCGTTTTAATACATTCAGTGCCTAATTAATATTCATGAATAAATTAGTGAACCTGTATAGAAAGGCCCACCTGTCTATAAAGGCCAAAATTTCAAAGTCCCTTGGGTGGCCGCTATAGACAGGTTTGACTGTACATGAGTATTATACATCTTTTATTTACACTGTAGCTGACTTGCCCTCCAGCAATATTTACTCCCATCTGTTATTTACCAGCTGTATGAGACCAATCGAAAACCGTTTTATTATCAATGAATAACTACCAGCAGCAGCTAGAATATTGGGATTAATGTTTTTATGCTGACACACTCTTTTTTTTTTTTTTAACTTCCTACACAAAAATTATTAAAGGAAATATTAGTGAGGCTTATGTAGATGTACAATCTAGGGGTGATGCGGTGATTATAATGTGGATACCATTTATTCTGTTAATAAATAATTCACCAATTTCTTTGTTTGAATTTTTCACACAATGTCAAAACTGTTCTGGCAGGATGGGTTGACTAAGCATTTTGTCAGTATAAAAGTAGTTCCAAAAAATGTACCATAATGCATTTATCTAAAATTCTGGTTTTCAAGCAATTTAAAAGTGTGTTTTTATCTCTGTTCAGGATTTTACAGATAATATGGTACTGGGTGTATCAAAATAAAATCTCTGTGTTCACATGTGTTCAATAGTTTTTAAATCTAGCAATGTACATTTCTGTATTGTGGATTGCCATATGGCTGCGTTACTCTATAAGTATTATTCAGTGCCTATGATTTCAGCCAGAATTAGAATACATATCTGTTTAAGATACCGGTAGTACCATGTTAGGAAATATAATCCATTGTTGCCAGTGTTTGTCACTGCTTATAAAATCATGTTGAATTTTGCAGGCTGATATGAAACTTATGTGCGATAATGCTATGCTGTATAACAGACCTGAAACTATCTACTATAAAGTTGCCAAAAAATTATTGAATTATGGATTAAAAATTATGAGTAAGGTAGGAAAATGTCTTCTCTTATGTTCCATGTGGGAGAAAATTTATACATTATCATGATAGTGGCTTGTCAGTGGGTCAGAGCACAAAACCTTCCATCTGGATTGTCTTCAAACCTAAGAATATAGATATTGACTGAGTAGATACTGAATTGGTACTGAAGTTTCAAGCATGTATATTCAATTATCAGGCGTTGTGGTTCATCATGTCGTCAGTGTCAACATACTGTAAAACATGTCTTTTTCGCGAGCATGTCTTTTTAGCGAGAGAACTGATTCGCTAATTCAAGATGTCGCTAATGACTTTATTATAAATTCAAAATGGTCAAGGCTTAGGGATTTGTATACAGTAATCCGGAACATAAAAATCTGGGGCGCTTCCTAATTACACTTGGCAGTTTTTATGGAGGTGATAACTGCGCATTTGTTTTGGCACGCAACAGACAAGTATTGTGAAAACAGGAAATAAACAATGACAAGAGAGATTCGCTAAATCAACATTTCGCTATTACGTCATTTTTACAACATTAACTAAATTTGCATATCATTTGCAACATGTTTTACAGTACATGTGTGGACACCACTTGGGAATCCTGCATAAAAATCCAAATTGTGTCAATTATATTATGATTGTAGAATAGTTATTATACTTGTGAGGCTAGCCTCAAACATGAAATATTTACTGATGAAACAACAAGACCTGTCAGTAGACACAAGTGAGTGCAGTAAAAATATTCACAGTGATACTCATGTTGTATTTTTTCAAACTTATGAACAGTAAAAAAAACACTTGTCTCGTATCAATATGTCTTGTGTTTTACCTTCTCGCAATGCAGGAGCGAATTATACCACTGAAGCGTGCTATGGGTTTTGAAATTGATGATGATGATCATCCAATTACTACTTCTATTAAAATTAAAAGACCGAAACGGGAAGAACCATCCACCGATGATAGTGCTATGGATATTGATATTGTTGAAAATGAAGAGGTTCCTATCTTACACCAAGAACCAGAAGATCAGAACAGGTATACATTAATATTTGCAATATAAATCATGTAGTTCAGTACATGTTTGTGTATACTAGTTATTTGAACTGCTTTGTAATTATTTTGTCCTCCAGTGCAATTGAGAAGGTATTTGAGCCTCTAGAAAATATGGATGAAGACGATGGTCTTACACCAGAGGAAATTGTAGATAAAGTTACGCAAGCTGCTCAGCATGCTAAAGAAAAACTTTCAAGGAGGTGTCCAAATAGTAAAGTAAGTGTTCTGTACAATAACATAAATAACAGAGTTGCTCTGTTAGATGCTGCGCCTTTATTGCAACTATTTTAGACAGTATTTCCTAGTCAGAGAATCTGAATATTTGTTTTGATCAAATCTGAAAAATGAAAACCAATTCCGCTACTGGTATGTTTGTAAATCATGGAAATTAATAATAAGGATCAAAAATTATTTTTTTAATTCCCTCACAAAAAAAAATAATTCCCATTTGTATGCTATTATTAATTTGGGCCCTTGCAATCAATTTAATATTTCTTACTATTATTTTTACTGAGTTTGTACGGTAAGTTTGAGTTTCAGTTGCCCTGGTGGGAAATTTGTAGTGACAGTATCCATGTGATATTAATGATTTTGACAATTTTTTTGTTTGAATATAACCACATGAAGATGATCAAATCTTACCAAATTATTATTTCAGATGCATGGGTAAAGTGACCCTACTTAAGTCTAATATCTCACAAAATTTTGATGTGAAAACTAAGGGTCGAGTAGTCGCCATTTCATTGAAATTGGCCACTTGATGGAGATCGTAGAAAATTATGATAATAAAATTATTGAGAGGTCATCCGATATAGGCTTTGCCTCTCAAGATTGCGATGTATTTGACATTGTTAAGTTGTTACCTTGTACCGGTAATCTCAGATGTTCGCTTGACAAAATGGGACAAAAATAGATGGTGCCCTCTGGAAATCTGGACACAACCTGCCAGCCATCTTTTTTCACTGCAAGTCATTTAATGTATAATCGGTATATATACTTATCAGTATCTGGCATATATGCTCTACTTTCAGTGTCCAAATTAAAGTGTCCACTAATGACACAGGAAATGTTTTATTAAAAATAAAAATTTTGATGGAAAAAGGTCGATAGTTATAGCTATTGTCGCTTTAAAGTAAAATGTATCGTATTTGCTTTATAAGATGCACATACAATAACATATGTGGTACATGTATTAGTAGACCAAATTTGTCAAACACTAGTAGCCAACACCGGCAGTGTATTCTTGTATTTCCTTTCTCTAGATCGGTTTTCTCCGAAGACAAAAAGATGGCACCACTACTTTGGCTGTAGTTAACCCGGAATGTGGTGTTGAATCAGGTGGAGAAGTTCACCCAGTTAATTTAGGCTTACTGGTTGGAAAATTAACAGCAGGCTCTAGTTCTATCGCAGGATTTCGAGAAGATAAAAGGAATAAAGTTAATCCAGGTTAGTAGATTTCACGAGAATCAACTTTAAAACACTTTTCTAGAGACGTATTTTCACAACATGGTGACTTTTTGTAGCTGTGAACACTGGGCTAGACAGTTCCTTTCACAAAATATTTGTTCTTTCCAACATTTATGTTTGAGAGTAGCCCAGTTCAGAAATGCTTCCAACATGGTTTTGTTTAACTGGTGGTAAAATGCAGCCTTATACCAATGAGGAAAAGACTTCATTTTATAGCTCAAAATCAACCCCTTTCAAAAAGAATTATTGTACATGACAGTTACTTGCAGACATTTACCGGTAATGTTCATATACTGTCAGTATAAAGTGTAGGGTTTTTCAATTATCGACTTATACTAGTTCTTGCCTGTGGTGAATATATTTCATAGTGTGTATGACTTGTTTTGGCCTCTGTACGTATGACAGCTTGATCCCAGAACACTTTACTTCTTCAATAATTCATTTGTTTCAACTTAATTATATCAATATCCCTGAAGCCCTGATTGTGTGTCAGTCAATATCTCTGCAAACATGTGACAATATTTGGAGGCTCTTCGTTCACTGAAGCAGCGGTTATTACTGGAGCCTCATGAAATCAGTGATGATACTTGGAGATCAGTTGCAGAGTTACATGTAGACGGATTGATCAGTAGAAACTTTAGTGGCAGTGTGGAAGAGAACTCTGTACTGTATCGGTAGCAATTACTGGAGCCTTGTTCAATGCGAAATCCTTGATGATATTTATATATTATAGAAGTAGAGCTATGTCAGCAATGTATTCCTGAGATTTACGAGACATTTACTTGTGATTACTTTGAGATACTTACATTGTGAGTCAATCATTGCACGCCTTCCTTTCTATACCAAATGCCACTTCCCATTATTTGAAGCATAAATATTCTTAGTTTCGTTAATTACAATTTTGCAACTTCTTTTTCACACAATTATTGAGTTGTAAATATCCCCAACTTTGTGTTTTTGGAAGTAATTACTTGGAAATGAACATTTCTCAAATGAACAAACCCATATGTTTATATTTTTGTGATGTATTACAATATGTACCTCCCAGTGTAGGTCACCCTACTCATAGTCATGGCGGTTCTGTGATGATATCGGTGGTTACAGCAAATTTTTGACTCCCGTGTGCGAAGCACAAAAAGGAATCTTTGCACTCATTGGATTTTAATGAAACTTTTAAAGAGTACCCATCACATTTCAATGAACCTAGGACTATACACCATATTAGTTTTTGGTAAATATTTATGCTTTTTAATCCCCTAATTAACATAATTAAATAATTAATACTGATATCTCAAGTATTGATCATCACATTTGAATAAAACTTGGTACGTAAATGCTCTAGGACAATAGACAGCCTGATTAATTTTGGGTTAAAATCTGTTCATATTAATTCTCTAATTAGCATAATATTTAATAATTTTTTGGTTTTAATCACATTTCAATGAAACTTGGTACATTGTGCAGACCTTATTAGTTTTACACTTAAATCTGTTCATATTAGTTACCTAATTTGCATAATTAGTTTTCTGCGTTTCCATCAATATCTCAAGCTTAATTAATTTTGAATTAATTTTTAATGTGTCTCCAATACTCTCAGCACACGGGAGTTCTTTCTAAGCTTTCTTTGATATAGAAATTGTCACAAATCTTCACTGGTATCTTTGTTTGACTTTTCAGTATCCTATTTAATGTACGGGCCGTTTGGTTCCTATGCACCCACTTATGATTCTAGTTTTGCTACTATAAGTAAAGAAGATTCAGATTTACTATTTTCTACGTATGGTGATCAAACAGGAATACAGTATGCTGCAAGGTAATTATAAGATCTTTCTGGTCTTGTCTTCTTGCTTTGGTGTTCAATGCTAAAAATCATTAAAATCAAGCATTTCTGGCTTTCCGGAGCCAGATCTTAGCTGTTTACTGATGGATTTTGTTCAAACTTGGTACATACATTGGCATCATGGGATCTTGATGCACGTAATCTTGTTTTTAAGATCAGATTCAAAATGGCTGACTGCCAGCCATTTTGTTTTAATGAATGTGGTTCTAGGGCCATATGTCTACCATTCTTTGACTGATTATGTTCAAATTTTATATATTCATTATACATCATGTCATAGATGTATTTAAAATGGCCAACCGGTGGCCATTTTGTTGTGATTAATGTTTTTCCAGAGCAATATCTGTCATTATGGACATGTTAAAAAAATCATCATAATTAAGCATCAGCTTCTGGATCCATGTTTCTGACAAGTTTGTGTTTCAACTATTTCACTATAAACAAAACTATGTATCTTAAATTTGATAACTAACAGGGACTGTGCCATGTATGGCTTGTTTTTTCAAGACTTATTTTTGCTTCCTTTTTCTAGTGCCAAAATATCACTGTTAATCCAGACATGTGTCTCTATCTTCCATCATTTTAATCTACATACTGTTGTGTTTAGTTTACAGTCTTTTGTGAAGGACACTGGAGATTATAGTGTCACATTAGCTAATGGTCTTCTAGACAATCTGACAAATGGTGAACACTCAAAGACACTAAAGAAACTCAAAGAGGTAGGAAAGTCATGGACACACTTGCCATTTTAGTAGTGGATTGGGTCAGTTATAGCAACAATCAGCGAACCAACTTGTATGTCTTGCATAATTGTTGGTATTGTAGTTAATTTGCATTTGTGTGTATTCACTAGGCTGTCCCACAGAAAAAAAATATTGTGCCATTAGTTGCTCTAAACAGGGCTTGAACTTTGGATTTTCAAATACAAAATTTATAAAAGTTATTTATTACAGGACACATAATATTTATGTTGAAGGCTTTAAACATAATTTTGTTGAGAATACAATTTCCTCCCCTAATATTAGGCTAACCAGTTGCAATTTTTTTAATATAGAAAGAGGAGGAGGAGTTGAAAAAGCTGAAAGAAGATGAAAAAAAGACGACAGAGGATAAGGAAAACGATGACAGGGTGGCAAACGAGACTGAGACAGTTGCTGATAAACAGGTACACGCACTAACAATATTTCAGCATTGAACTGACAGTATGTTGCTGACTAGGAAGACAACACAGAGAATTTCAAACATCACTGTATCTCTGTGTTTTTTTTACTAAATGATATCAAAGTACATGAATTGCGTTAACCTCAAATTCTTCTTCCTGGACCTTATTGTTCAGGCATTTACCCCCGATTATTCTAACATTCGACACCACCTGGTCAGCCATCTGGTTGTCCATCTTGGTCTTATGTGTGGGCTGATTGCATAAAATGGTCAGAATATATCAGTATGTCTCACTGGCTTGAGAGATACCCACATGACCACATCATGAGCAAAGTCAAATCTGGACTTCACAAACTTCCCAGCTCCGTGCCCAAATCGTTGCCCTTCGTAGTGTAGGCAAAACCTGTGAGCAGGTTGCCACATCCTTGGGAAGGACTGTACGATGGGTTTTGAACTGGGTCAAACATCACAAACAAGGTGCAGACCTTGAAGATGAGCCCCGATCTGGACGTCCTCGTGTGCTCACTGCCAGAGTCAGGGACATCATCAGGAAGACCAAGGGCAGACAGTGACTGTCATGCAGACGGTTGAGTCACAGACTAAAAAACATTGACGAGAAAGGCTCTAAGAGCATTGTTTATCGCTATTTGACCCAGAAAATTGGTTTGAGGGCATACAAGAGGCCTAAAATACCATGACTGACAGAGATTCAGAAAGGGAAGAGGCTGTCTTTCGCCAAGAAGTATGCCAGCTTGACCCCAGTGGACAGGGAGAACTGGATTTCTCCGGCGGGTATCCCTTGTATTTGTTTCTGACGCCCAACAGTCAAAATGACCGGGTCTATACCGATAGTCCTGAGAAACTGCCTCCTTCTGTGCAGGTGAAGTTGAGTGCCCATACCATGGTGTGGGGTGCCATGTCAGCATCCGGGCTGTCTGAGCTTCACATAGTGCCACAGGGGCCCCAGTAAACGCTCAATACTTTCTGCAGAAGATACTGGAACCTACACTGGTGCTTATCATGAGCAGAAAGAAGAGTAGTGGTGCTGTCACCAGCCTGAAGATTTACAAACGATGCTATCAGCATGTGTTTGTTTTATTGATTGCTAATTAACGCGAACAAACATTTAGGACACAGTGTACTTGGGACCCTAACTTTGAGTTTTAGTTTCAAATGGTATAGTGATATATAGAATGAACTTGTAATGTGTCTATAATCTAATATATTTAAACACAAAGGACAAAAAATCCAGTTACTAATTTTTAGATTATCTGCTTAGATCTATTTCAGTATCATTTTGGACAGATTTTTATATTCATTCATTCAAATGTCATTTTAGTATCATTTTGAAAATATTTCCCATATTTATTCATTCAAAAATTTCATTTCCGTATCATCTTGGACATATTTCCATTTTCATTCATTTAAATATGCCATTTAGGATCCTTCTAGTTACTAATTCAAATATGTCTTTTGATTATCATTTCTGATATATTCCTATATTCATTAATTCAAATATGTCATTTCAGTATCATTTCTGATATATTCCTATATTCATTAATTCAAATATGTCATTTCAGTATCATTTTTGACATATTTCCCATATTTATACTTTCATGTGTGTTAACATATTTCCTATACTCATTTCTTCATTGCAGTATCATTTCAGAGTGCAAATTTAAAAACGATGACACAGAGAAAATTAAGGAGTTTACAGTATATATATAAAACATGAAATAATGATTATGCATCATTTTGATATTGTGTGTTTTGTTTCATGTAAGAACATGTATTATAAGGCCAAACAAAAAAAATTGTTTTGTTGCACTCAGCGACTAACCGAAAAATATGAAATATCAGGTTGTGGTTTGTTTGTTTTTTGTTTTTGTTTTTTAAATAGGCCTGAATATCAAAAAATCACCATTTTAAGCAGTAAAAAAGTGTTTCCTCTAAAAGTAAACGATCCCGGACCGTTGTTTTATCCCAAGGGTCCCCGGGGGGATAAGTGGCGACTTTGAATCTCGTGTTGATCTGTATTTCTCTGACATGTTCCGAATACTATGAAGTCTGAAGAGCAAACACGTCTTTTGCATTTCAGGCCATTTTGACATTTGTGATTCGACGGATAGTTGGTGCACAATATTAAAAATAAAATATCCTTTTCTTAATTAAATAAAAACTCTATTTTGAATCAAAAACAATATGTTTTATTGAATTTTATTGAATTTACAAAACGTGACATTTTATATTAAAACTCTCATCCGCTTACGTCACAAACAAAACGACGGCTTTTGCACATTGTTTTAGCGCTGTCATTGTTCTCACTTCTGGGTTTGTCATCGTGTGTTTGTACATGTGTACAGCGGTAGCGAACATGGCGAACACGTTTGCTGTGTGCATGACAGCAAAAGCTGGATCAACTATTAAATTTAGCAAAGTCACGTCACTTAAAAAAAAAAAAAAAAAAAAAAACGACCGACCCAATTTTTCCATTTTCCAACTTGAGGGCAACATAAGTTTGTGTTTATTTTGGCCTAATTGCATATCAAACTTGTAGGTTCATGTCAAAAGGTTTTACTTTTCTCTCAATCATATCATAGGTCGAAAGGGTAGCTGTGAAAGAGGAACCAAGTGAAAAATCATCTGAACTGTGTCAAGAACTCAATACGGAAAACACAATTAAGCAGGAACATGCAATGGAGCCATTACCAGAAATAGATTTTGAGGCATTGAAATCGTTATCGGATATCGGTATTGATATGTCTTTTCTCCCATCTATGGGTAAGCGAATTATTCTTCAAAACCTGATTTGCACTACTACATTTCTGTATTTCTTTTTTAGTTCCTGCTGACAGTCAACAGGTGGTTATGTTGTAGTGCTGTCTGTCTATCCAATCGCCCGTCTTTGTGGCAGATTTGTGAATGCGATATTTCACAAATCTGTGATCAGTATCAAATGAAACTGAGTATTCATATAGTATGGGACAACTGCAACTTCTGATGAGTTTAAAAAACAAATTTGATCCTGCCTCATATGTTTTATTTTGAGGCCTGATGCCTAGGTCAGGGTCCATATGTACAATCGGATCTTTCATCAAGTGTCAATTAGGATTACTTTCATGCAAGTGTTGTGCTTGTGTTGGTGGTGTTTATAAACAATCACACGTGGCAATGTTTTGAAATAGAAAAAAAAACGTCCAAATAAGCCTTATAAAATGGAGTTTTTGTTTAGAATAAAAGCACAGTCATAGATACTGTCATAACCATCAATAATTTAAAATAAAAAAAATATTGAAAAAAAACATATTAAACGTATGCTAACCCCTTAAACTCATTCTATTTAGCATGCCTCTTCTTATATACTATTATGCCAATGTAAATTCTGGCAAATCATCGGTTCAGCAAACATTTGCTTATTAAATGTTACTGTAAAATCTGTATTAAAAGCTGCGGCTTCTATTAAAATGGTAAAATGCAACAGAGGGGATGTGGCTTCTATTAGAGCATCTACACATGTGAAAAATGATGAATTGTTGGTTCTCAATTATTCCAAAAAAGTGGGTGCGTCTTCTATCAGGGATGCAGCTTCTAATACAGATTTTACGGTTCTGTAATTAGTAACATTCCAAGAAAAGTTTGAAATCATCCTTTTCTGTGATCACATGAATAAAATGGAATGGCAATATTGCAGTACAAGACACATTTTTACTTACAATGGGAAGCAATGGCTGCATTGTTAGGAAATTAAGTCCGCAGTTTTACGATGCTTGGCCACAGAAATATGCCATGCTTGAACTTTCAAGGAAACATATTCTGTAAAATACTTTCTTTTCGCTTGGAATTAATTTTCGCTATTTTCGCTGAAGGAATGATTGAGTGAAAAGAAAATCCAGTGAATATACCTTTTTTCCTATAATTTACATTTAACATGTCAAAAATCATTGAAAATAAATCCCATACAAAAACACCCAAAAAGTCCTTTCAGCAAAATTTAATCCCAGCTAAAATAAAGTATTTTACAGTATATATAAGTTATTGATATGTGAATTATATCTATTTTAACAAAATTAATAAATGTGTAAATTAATACGCAAATTAAACTATGATTTGATACAAATGATTGCCCTTTGAAAAAAGGGGGCATACTCAGTACTAAGGTTTCAATGTTAAAAGGGCGGTAGTCGTCGCGACATTTGTGTTGATAAACATTGATTTTCCCACAATCCGTTGCATTTCTACTAATTGAAAGCACAAGTATGAGGTTTGACCTGGGTGCGACTTGCGTAATTATCACCGGTGACTCCTTCGATACCTTTCAATCACCTGAAAATACCTAGTTAAAGCTTGGTAACGTTTCAGTTTGTACTCGTTGATCTGCGCAACAGTCAAAGTCGCCATCTTTATTTATATGAGACCCATATACCGTCATTAAATAATTAAGACTGGTTTGAAAAAATAAATATCAAAATGCACTTTCCCCCTGTATTGTTCAAGTTTCACATTGTATGAGTTGATTTCATATACATAGAAAAATGTGACTTATTTCTATAGAAAAAGACTTGTCAACGGAAAAAGAAGAACTGGTTATGCCGAGTGAAAAGTGTGTACAAGAGAAATTGAATGAGACCAGTGATTTAATACAAGATTTAGAGAAGTCCCAACATGAACGGTTGAGTAAAAAACCCCCATCAAATTTGCAGTATATTAGTGGTCCATCTGATAAAGAATGCGAGATTGCTGAGAGACTTGCACAGCAGTTGAAAGAGTTAACAGCACAGGTATGTACAAATAATTATTTGTTACTACAGTTATGTTTTTTTTTTTTGTCATTTCCTTAATTGACTGGCATGTGGTGCTGTAGGGCTAGGAGTTCAAGTATCGGTTAGATGTCAGGTTTATGTTGTTTGTTACTATGTTGTTTTTTTTTAATTTTATTCTGCAATTCATTTATATATTCTTTTTTTTGAGGTTTAATTGAAGGAGTCAGTTATGGAAATATGAAATCAATCCCCAAAAAATAATAATCAGCATAAAATTTTGTGACATGTGAAATGACCTGCTTTATTTTGACTACAAAATGTCCGGCTGTTATACTGATAAGACAGTGTTCTGGGAAATGTTAGTAAGATTGAACTTGATATATTAATTAAGTTATCACAACTTTGACTTCTTAGTCTTAGTGGCAATGGGAGTAGGGGTCGATTTGTTTGTCTGAGTGTGTGTGTGTGTAGAAAAGCAATTTTGTGCCTAACAAAGAATTTATGTCATTGTATGATTATTAATTTCTAGTCAATGAAAAATAAAATCTGTCTAAAGTAGTTTAAGTGGCGGTGCATGTGCAAGATTTGGGTTGATAAATAAGTGATTTTCATAACAACCTGATGAACTCAGCTCAGTGGCGCAAACATTAATTTTGTTATCATGTTACCATGATACTGACTGACTCTTTTAGAAACCTTTGATGCATCACAATCATCTAAAAAAATTAAAATCTTGTTTTTTGTTCACATTGATCTGTGTGACAATGAAAGTCACCATCTCAATGTTGCAAAGACCACCGCCCTTTCATTTTCATGACGAAAACTAACGTTTTATGTATCATATCAACAGGCTGGTCCTGGAGGAGTGGTTTCAAGTCAATCAGTACGCACTGCTATGGGTGTCACTATACCCGACACTGTGGCTGCAACACCACCGACAACAACAACAACAACAACAACGTCAACCCCTGGGAACAATGAAATAGATCTCATACCTGACCTCTCACCTCCCTCACACATGAGTGCAGAAGAAGAAGCTGAAATTGATAGAGAACTTAGGGAGTTCTTAGAGTCCCCTAGCATTGCAACAGATGATCCGAAAACATGATAGAAACACTGACTATGAATATTAAAGATTTTAAAAATTATATGGTCTGCATAAATTATGAACTGTTTAAATATTTTAACGTGGTGGCTTTTTTGAATTTTTCTTATCCAAATGGACTAGACTGTGAGGCAGTGTCTGAAAACTCATCACCGCCCTCACACATTTTGGATGTCTTCATACTGAAATCATTAAATGAACACAATGTATGATGGAATATGTTATTTGTGATGGAATATAGGTGGAAAATTGAGCACAGGTTACATAACTGTAAAATACTTTATTTTAGCTGGAATTAATTTTCGGTGAAAAGACTTTTTGGGTGTTTTGTAGGGAATTTACCGGTACTTTCACTGATTTTTGACGAGTTAAATGGAAAATATGGGAAAAAAGGTATTTTCGCTGGATTTTATTTTCACTGAATCATTCCTTCCGGGAAAATACCGAAAATTGATTCCAAGCGAAAATAAAGTATTTTACTGTACTTTTTCTCATGTACTTAGTGGTACACCTTCAGTAGTAGCACATAGATCAAGACAGACATCAATCATTTATTTTATTTTATTTTATGATGATCAATCACAAAACTATCGCTGCATTCATGTCTTGCATACAATGGAACTCATATCACTACCTGGGTACTTTTACAGATCTTAGAAGCCATCATGTACAATGCACCCCAGCCTTATGGCTACCTAGGCTTTAAATTGAAGGCCATCTTAATTGTATTTCTGATACTTCACTGCCATTATAGTGTGGGGACCATTCTTATTTTCAGTTCTAAATGTTTTCCCACTTGAAGGAATAAACTAAATTTCCTGCAGATATGCACCTGAAATTGTCACTTCTACAGAGTAGATGAATATAGTCAAAGTAAGGACAGACTTTTATTACCCATGTTTTGAACAAGAACCAAAAATGAAATAAATTAAATTTTATTTCTGCGTAATTTCTCGCGCCCATCGAATTGTGAGTGCAAAAAATTGCTAAAAAAGTTTATTTTTATCTTTATTTTTTTTTTCGCCCGCCACCCTAACAAATCCAAGTTGCATTTTCATGGGAGTATCATGTTCGCACAGATCTATACTTTATGCGCGTTGGTTGGCAGTGAATCTCGGGTATTGACCTCTCTGTGTGCTGCTTGAGACTACTAGGCGAGCATAGCGGCGGTGGAGTGGTGACACGCCTTGAAACTCTGTCGTCAAAAACCGAGAAATCCCTCATTAATTCTGAAAATTGTGCCACCATTGGCGACATTGCCAACCACGTTATACATGAAATAACATTTTATTTCATTTCTTCTCTCCAATCAATGATCTCACTTACAATTCTTTGAGAATCACACAAATCTAATGGGAAAAAAGAATTTTTTTTTTTTTTTCGCCCTCAAAAAAATTGACTTATAAAAACTCGGGGAAACAAGGAATAAAAAAAGTCTGACCTAACCCTTTGTTTCATTTTACAGCGTGTTTCTGACACAAGAAATATCTTACTTATCAATAAACTCATCAAGGTTATTCCATGTTACTACAAGTATTTTCCATACAACTTCCTCTTATATTTATTTTTGTTAATCACTTTATTTTCCTGAAGGCTAAATGTCACTAGGGTTCTTCACATTGTAAGACAGCTTTGTCATCACTAATGTTCTTTAAGTGATTAAATCACATTTTAGACATTTTAGGGTTTTAACGATAAAATCACATACATATATGTGTTGAATAGGCATGATGGTCATTTGTTTTTTTAATCTATGTACCGGTAATATTAATTACCAATATTACCCTTGCAGTCCCAAGTGAATGGACACATGATGTTCAGTTTTATGACATGCCATGTATTTTTGACAATAACATGTAACCGGGGAACCAATTTTCGGGTGACCTAAAATTCATTTTTCCCCAGCTGTTGAAGTATTGTTTGCAATATGCATAACATTTTATTCCATGTGTGTTCAATTAGTTCCGCAAGGATAATTTTGGCTCACTATAACATAGATTACAAATTTGTGAAAAAAATGACAAAAAAAAATGCAACTCAAGCCCCTTTATAATACTGAACAGATGGTACTTTTTGAAAGTACACATCAATACTAAAGCTTCCGGAGCTGATATTACTACTGTCCCCTGAATAGTGCAGCTGTTTTTTTTTTTCATTTGATATCTTTCCGCTGCCAGTACTATGTCTTATTAAAAACTGTGGAAATGTCTATTCATTGAAGAATCACTGTTGTTTTCTGCCTTAACGTTTGCCAACCAGTATCTTTCAAACACTGCTTTCTCTCATTTTCAAATTGATGAAATCAATCTACTTTTTGGTGCAGACGAGTCAGTATTAACTGTTTTCTATTTATTTCTATTTTGCTCATTTTTACAGCTTTGTATCATATGGTAGATTTGCTGTCTTTAACAACATTTCTTTTGTTTTTGCTCAGTTTTCAGAATAAAATTTCTAGTATGTCTGTCATATTTAATAACTTTTTTCATTGATTGGATTGTGTACATGTGGTATAAAACTGTGTTCATCTTCTATAGTTCCATTAATTTGTTCCATATATTTTAAATGCATAAAATTTGCTGAATACATTTAACAAATACCAGATTTAGTTAAATGGCACCAATTTCATTGTAATATTAGACTTTTTGATGAATTATATAAATACTTTTCTCAGGTAAAACTTTATTTTTCCCATAAATCATCCTCAATTTCTTTTTAAAGTTATCAAACATGTTCAAACATATTCAAAGGGGTACCCACAATAATTCATTTCATTTAGTTTGAAGCTTTGTCAAGTAATACATGTGTCAAGATAAAATAAATTCTGTTTTTCAGGTAACACTGCATACCCATTTTTTTGGAGTAAAATCTAAAAGTTAATTTCATACAAATGTTTTATTTCTCTGCAAATTAGTTAATACAAGCAATACAAATTATTGGGAAAAACAAAATAATCCTCATCTTCGCCTCGGTTGACAATGAGCTCTTCTGGTCGCTAAGACTGTATGTCCACCTCTGTTGGGGCGAACACTTGTATAATGTGTACTTTTTACTTTACAATTGTTGCCCCCTGCCCAATCGGTGATTATTCATTGGCTACTGTTCCTGTGTCCCAGTAGAACATCTAGTAATTGTACGTATGAGGTGAGTGGCATATTTACTCTAGCATTGATGAGTGGTGGTCGCCGTGCCACGTCCTATTCGATAATGGACTTGCACAGTATAAAATATATTGTTTGTTTACCGCCTTTTAAGCATGAATGGAGAGTTTGATCTATACTAAATGCAGTTTCTAGAAAGGTATAATTCATTGGGTTTAATTTAGTTTGCAAAAGTCTGTTGTATGTCTATTTATCAACAGCTTTCCGTCTATGTACATATTAACACAAATCATATGTGATTGTATTCTGCTATATCTCAGTTTTCTGAAAACATATACATTGCCATAACTACATGCTTAGTAACTGGCGAGGAAAGTCCTAATCTCAATTAAACTATAACTTGTGTTTCCCCTCTCTCTACTCGTTTATCTTAACTGGACATTCTTTCACTGAATAATTTACAAAATAATGAAAGCAAATGGCTTAATAAATCAAGGTGTGTAATAATAACTTTATTGACTTACATTGGGAGAATAACAGAAAGTAAAATTCTTTTTTTTTTTAATAATTGTTATGAAATATAATTTGTAATATCCCGGTATATATTTTTGTAACATCATAGTTGAGATTTAATAGTCCATTTGAGTATCCTCCAGTTATCCTTGCTGAAAAATGAATTTTTAGCATTGAGTTGTCACGAATTTAAAGCGAGAGTGTTGTCATCTGCGCACGCACAGGAATCGAGTACCAAGCGACGATAACAACACAGGCTAAAATCGCAAAGGCTCATGGGTATAAACTTGTTTGTAAACAATGACACGCTATGGCCATCTGACGCAAGTAAAATCCCCAATGTGTCACATGTATCTTGTGCTATTGAATGCACAACAATCTACCGGGAATTGGAAAAAAAAACATCAGCCATATTAGGCTTGACAAAAAAAAATGTTATGTTTCTGGTCAGCCTGAACCTTTTTCACATATCTTGCCATTGCAAATTAAATTGACACCCCCCCCCCAAATATTTTTTTCAAATATTTCTGAAAAAAACAAAACTGCCTTACCACACCATTTGTGTCTACTCACCTAACTAAAACATCCCTAGACTGATTTGGACTATTGTGTGTCTACATTTGTCTATATCTACCTGACATTTGACAGTGATATGCTTTACAAGTGAGAGTACAGTCCCTCTATAGAGGGATATGGGGGAGGGGGCTGGGCTGTTAACAGAAGTGATATTAACGCAGCCATATATTTTTTAAATTACTGTAAACCTAAATATTTGCAGCAGTTACAAATTATATGGGCTAATGCATTGATGTCACAGATTTAAAAAAAATGGGCTGCTCTAATATATGCGTGAGCACTGTACATATATATGCAGAATTCAAATGACACCTGCTGAGCCAATTGTTTTTTTTTAATTTGAATGAAACTGATTTTAAAGGAGAACTGGTTAGTTTTTGATCATTTATAAGTTTAAGCATGTTAATTATTTACTCTTGTGCATGGTGATGGTGGGAAAATTTAACAGCAAATAGCAAACATTTGTTATAAGTGATATTAATATGCATACTTATTTGAAATACACACTTATTTCCGAGTTACCATGAATTTTTTCATTAATTTTTGATTAATTTACATTTCAAAACTTAAAATAGCAGGTGAAAACCACATAACCAATCGCAACATTTGATGTTGTTTGTCGAGATGAATGTACATGAGTCAGCTGACTGTGGATGAATGTAATGTCAAAATGATCTGAACATCATCCAATTACCAATCGGTTTCATTCCAACGTTGGATCATGAAAATATTCACAAAACTCCATCCATCATCAGTTAATTTCATCATGAAGGCATGACAGTTTTTCAAACGAATTTTTTTATGAATTTTAAAATAATGGGTAGAAAAAAAGTTGACCAATCACAAGTTGTTATAAAGGATGCATGGTAGTAAATTAGCCAATGAAGAATCCTTTAAAGGAAGTCATACATGTGATTGCCTCAGCTCACACATACATGTGATTGCCTCAGCTTACACATACGCGTGATTGGCCCAGCTCACACATACATGTGATTGGCTCAGCTCACACATACATGTGATTGGTT